TCGCATGCCAAGAACTACAAGTTGAAAATTTAAGTCTCATACATTAAAGAGAAAAAAACTTAAGTGAAACAACTCAGTGTAGTTGGGGCTATTGACACATTAAACAATTAAACGTTCGTAGCCAAATTTCGTTGGCGTCTCTATATAGTTTGTGTTCGGGGTCCGAGTGGAAACGCCAATTTTGAAGATTAGTGGCAGAGATTCGACCTCCAGTTCAGCGGTGTACATGTGGACTTAATTTACCTCAGCTTTGATCTCTGCATGGAACGTTGAACAATAAATATTATCGGTGCCCTAAAGAAAATCGCTCACTAAAATTAAAGCTTCTTCACCAGATTCACGTGTACCACCGAAACCTGAATTGAGAATTCTGTTTTCATGATCACGCCTCTCTGGAGAGTTTGATTCGAAAAAATGCTGGTCGTGGTCCCGATACCGATCGATGCCGCGCATGTAGGTACGGTACGTCACGATGATTACATGTACGTACGACTATCATGTGATATTAAATTCGACGTTTGACACCAGTGCTGACTCTGTCGTGCGTTTGCCGCACTTAAATGAATTGTTTCCCACTCGGCAGAAGCACGACATTTGACCCATGCCTTGTGGGCCCGTTTCAAACGTCGTGCTTACATGTATGTCATGTCAAATACTATTCAACTTGAAGAGAGGAAGGAAAACATGGCCATTGTTTGGCATGCGCAAGGGTATATCCACTACGAACACAGGACGTGGGTTGCCCTTGTTTTCAGTGTTTTCCCGGAATGACGCAGTCTACATTCAGAATTTGCATCTTGGCATGAACAGAAAAAAAAGCCCTTTTGAGCTCGTTACAGTTGAGCTCTGAAGACAACATATATATCTTTCTATTCGAATTCGCTAAGCGAATATGATGTACCACGAAGAAATAATAAGTGATTTGGCGTGAGTGGCTCCAAGTCGTTGATGTAGTCCGAAACGGTGGTTATTGGCCTGTTTTTTATTATAGACTCAGCTAGACACATTACAGTTGACAAGGTTTCATCACTCACTATCTGCTCGATTTCTTCAAGAAATAACTTTTAGTGCTCGCCAGAGCTAAATTCGTTTCTTTGTGACTCAAGCTAAAAGATGCAAAGTCACGTTTCGTATTGTAGTGGTCCTCCATGTTGGATTTATTTAAGTTCGACTGGGAGTTTTGAACTTAAGTTCGACGTTTGAAACCACTGCTGGGCTTACGTCGTGCTGACATCATGCTCAATTCAATTTCACTGAATAAACCCGACGATTGAAACAGGCCTTATTTTGCATGAAAAATGGTAGCTATCTGGGCCAGGCCTACACTATAGGCTGTGCCTCTGCCATGCCGAACTTAAATGATTTGACTCGGCAAACTGAATTCGGCACGGAAAGCCCTCGACTGTATGCCGCTCTATCGTCGTTCCAAATGGAAGTGGCACGACGCACCTCTGTTTAAGTTCAACGTTCAGTGCAACTGCCGCGCTATTGACACACTCAGTCAAATTAGAATCGACACGGCAGTGACATGGTGTCTAACCTTGGCCTCAGACATCAAAAAGTGTGAATTCGTCGCCACGTAGGCCTATTTGTGCGCTCTAACGAGCACGAAACTTCTTGTTGATAATATTCCCATTATTTTGCATTTTCACCGTTTGGTAATAGGTTGCAAGTTTAGAATATTCTAGCTATCAAGTGGCATACAGCGTCTGGGGTAGGTTTTCTATCACTGGGAGGATTTTCATTGCAAAATAAATCAGCCACCATGGCCTAATAACATTGTTTTGATCATGGTTTAAACCGCGTATGATTTGCACTCTGTTAGAATGGTCAATCATTTTCTACAAATATTTTTCGATGGCTGTTTACTTACTGTACATACTTTCAGTAAAGTTAGAAACAACCTCATTCAGATTAAGTCTTCAAGTCTGCATTTTTTGTAAGGATTGTTTATTCTGTATGGTCTCGCTTGTTTTTCTTTCTGTTGATTTTAGTATAGGCCTACTTTATTTCTTAGCTACTGGTGCTAGCATTCATCATTACTTAAAAACTACCTGTTTTCCATCTTTTCTTAGGTTATTCGGAATGTAATTTTTAACGTCCATCAGTCTAATTTTTCTTGTTACTAAAACATTTTACTGCCACTCTACTTCAACCACCTGTAAATTTCGTTTCCTATTTCACACCTCATTGTGGTACGGGATTTGAAGTCGTACAACTCCTGATATGGGTCATTTTGTCAGTCATTGTCCTGCTTTAGCTTTGGGAACAATTCCTGTATAATCTGAAGCTTGAAGGCATTTTGGTAAGCTGGAGCACAATCGAAATGATGAAGACCTTGTCAGATCATTTCTTCCGAAACTGATGCCTTTTTACTCCTTTCTCCTCTTATTTTAAATGATCTTATTTAGGTGATCTAACCAAATTTCCCAACTGATAACTGAGTAGATGAAATAAGATTAAATATTAATGAAGTTCGATGCGATGATGGGGACACTCTTTTTCTACATTTTCCTCGAAGCGAAATTGATAATGCACTTTCCAATTCCAACCACGTCCAGGTTAACGTTCGTCGTTGGCCTTGCCTTTTACTACGGGCAGATTCTCGTCGCTCGAATCGTTTTTCTCTAGAGGGCGCTGGACCGCTAGGAACAGTCTAGATTTAAAGTT